GGGAGGGTGGGAAGGAAGGTGGGATCGAGGGTGGAATGGAGAGAGGAAGGGGAGCCCGTGTGCCCAGATAGCTAAAAAAATACATTTATTCAATTTTATTGACCTTCATTCACGAATATAAGGGTAAAAGTTCCGTAAAACTTAAAAAGGACTAAAAATGACACAAATGTCCTTGTTGGTTTCTTTGTTCCTGCTTCCTCATCTTGCACAGTCTTGAAGTGGATTTCTAATGAGTTTTACGCTGTCTTCTTCCGTGGTTTTCACTTCTCTTGTTCATGCATTAAACCACAGTGACACTCTTTCAGATTCAAACAATGTGTTACCTGCCAATTCCCTAGCAGCTATCTATTGTTTTACCTCCATAGCTATGGTGTCACCCATTCTTTAAACCCCGTGGCTGCTGCTGAACGGTTGGGCCCTGTTGGCACTTCTCTCCTCCACCTGACACCACTGAAGAATGGGGCCGCTATCCTCAACCATAAGCAATATTCCACCATGAACTCCAGACTTTGTGTTGTCAAGGGATTGCAGGGATCATTGGCCCCATATAGGCGGGGGTGACTGGCCTGTGGTGGACGGCCGAGATGCATTTCTGTTGTATCGCTGAGAGCTGAAGAAGGATGGAACAGACAAGAAAGACTTACCTTTGGGCTAATGGTGAACATTCATCTCCTCTTCCATAGTTGATGTTGCATCTGGAAGGCTCCTGTTGGGGTCCCAGTTGGACAGGACTTCATCCAGGAGCGTGGCAATGGAAGAACGAGTTGGGAGAAGCACAGCAGTAGTGTTGTTCATTGAACGCCCGTGTTGGACACGGATGAACCACTATAGCTAGATATGAAACCATGAGGAATGGAATGAGAGTGGGCCCAGAAGGAGATCTCTTTGAGTGCTAGCAGTAACTTCAAGGAGGATTGTTCAGGACTTTGTTCATTCATTCATTCATTCGTTCATTCATTTATTATCGTAATTTACTGTTTAGAAGGGGAGAAGGAGATGATATCAGGAAGACTTAACTTTGGCTATGATGAACATTCATATTCTCTTCCATAGTTGATGTTGCATCTGGAAGGCTCCTGCTGTGGTCCCAGTTGGACATGGACTTCATCCAGGAGTGTGGCAATGGAAGAACGAGTGGGAGAAGCACAGCAGTAGTGTTGTTCGTTGAACGCCTGTCTTGGACACGGATGAACCACTATAGATAGAACACACTGGCTATGGCTGCTCCCAAACCCTCTCCTTAAGCTGCCAAGATTGGCACTGCTGCGTCTTCTCTTCACTCCACCAAAATCACGAACTGAAAATGAATGAACTGTAGTCCTCGGCATAGTTGCGGCGCACCTCGGTGCGCGGATAAGCGCACGATTTGTGCACTGCGCGCAGCGCACCCAAGCGCACCGCACTGTAAAAATTAGGTCCAAAAAAAAAAAAAAAGGAGGGTTTTTGTCATTCCTTAGGGTCCCCAACTCGGCAAAAATGTTAAACGCACCGCGCGAGCTCGCAAACCGGCCGCGCCACCGGCCCGAACTTTTTTTTGGGCAAGGACTACCGAATTTCAATTTCCGCAGGCCCTACCCCCAGAAATTTCAAAAAGGCAAAGCATAAAACAGGGCTCATTCCAACTTTTCTCTTAGGTGGGGTATGGAAACTAGCCTTCCCCCTCCCTTCTGCAAATCCCACTCAGTGGTGGGGTAAGTTCGCGAGAAGGGAGTAGTCGCCTAGTAACGACCTGCTCCACGAACATTGCACAAGTCACAGGTTCGATTTTCATGTCTGGCCGACCACCAATATATTCTGAAGGTTGGCGTTCAGGTCTGCATGTCGGCAGTTATGGGCTAGGATGAAGATGCCCGTAGCTCTCTCGGTTTTGTGTTTTTGGTTTCTTATGAATACGTACAGTGGGGCCTGCTCCACTACTCGCCACATGCACAAAAGAAATAGCATATGGGGGTGTATGGTCCCATGTTTTAGCAGAAGATCCATTCTACTAATATTATTATTGTATACATTTGGTGAGTGGTGGAGGGAGCTCTCGTTTTTTAGTTTCTGTTTTCCTACGAATACGTACAGTGGGGCCTTGTGGCATACTGCGCAGCCACACGGGCCTGCAGGGCCCGTCCCGCGGTCTCAGCCTAAAAGCCTAAAAACAAGGGCTTACAGGCCCCGGGTCGTTTCAGCCTGAAAGCCTGAAAACGAGGGCCTGCAGGCCCTATGTCGTTTCAACCTAAAACAGGGCCTTCCAGGCCCTGAGTCTTTTCAGCCTGAAATGGAGGGCCACTTTCGGGCCCTCATAAGATCGACCTGCCCTAACACTCAGGCACCAAACCAGGGTTTCAGGAACAGGCTATTTTTGGCCTGTTCCCACGACAG